GTACTGTGCTGAGGAGATAACTTCGTCGGAGTTTCCCCTGGAGTGAATTGCGTTGTTTTTACCGTTTTCTTTTTTTCTTCTTCTTTTTTTCTTCTTTTGTCTTTTTGTTTCTCTCGTTTTCTTGTTTGCTTCTTTCGTTTTATCTTTCTCTCCCCCTCTCTCTCTCTCTCTCTCATTCTTTATGTTTTGTTAATAAATTGCCGTCTTTAATACTCCATTTATTTTTTTTCCGAAGGTGACGTTTTTTTGTGTGTGAGTGTGTGTATTTTTGGGGGAAGGAAGAGACCACTGTACGCGCATCTTATTCACGAGATTGAGAATAACACGCGGGTGTGATGAAAACATATTGTTCAGCAGATCAATACTAGTGTTCTGATCGACAAGGTGAGAGGGAGGGAAGGGGAGGGAAAGGGAGGAGGGAGGAGGGGAGGGGAAGTGAGGGAAGGGGAGGGGAGGGAAAGGGAGAAGGGAAAGGGAGAAGAGAGGTGGGAGGAGGGAAAGGGAGGGAAGGGGAGGGAAAGGGAGAGAAGGGGAAGGGAGGGGAGGGGACGGGAAGGGAGAGAAGGGAGGAGGGAAAGGGAAGGGTAGGGGTGGTGAGGGAGGAGGGGTGGGGAGAGAGGGGATATAAAAGGGAGGAGAGGAAAAGCATGGAAATGGATGGAAGGAGGAGAAGAGAGGAGAGGAGAGGGAAAGAAGAGTGGGGAGAAGAGAGGAAGAAGGGGAGGCAAAAGGTGGGAGAAGGGAGGGGAAAGGAGCAAGAGGGAGGAAAGGGATGAGAGGGGAAAAGGAACCAGAAAGTAAAGGAAGAAAAAGCAAGGGGAGGAGAGGGAAAGAAACGAAAAGAAAGAAAAGGAAATGGAGAGATAGGGAAATGAGGGAGGAGAGTAAAAGAGGAGGAAGTGGAAGGGACGAAATGAGAAAGGGGAAGAATGAAAAAAAAAAAGATAAAAGAAAAAAAAAGTGAAAAATAGAAAAAGGCAAGAAATCAACTGAAAAAATGCAATGACTAAGTGACAACAAAAGGAAAGAAAACGAAATATAGAAAAAAATACAGTATAGAAGATGGGAAAAGACTTCCAAGCATTCTCTTTCTCCGCCTTATTAAAGAGTAATCTTGAAATCTATATATATATGTTCTCTGAATTAGCGCCGGGAAATTTGCATTGTCTGCTGTATTTTTTGGTTAATTTCGTTTACACATAAATGAATCCGCAAGGCCTACCTGACCTCACCTGAGTTTTTTCCCTAATGTTGTCAATATCTTTACTGTTATCGTTAATATTATAATGAGATCATGAATATTAATTTTGATAAGAAGTGAAGAAATATAAATTTCTTTCCGGGGAAGAGGGTAAACAGGTGAGATCAGGTAGGCTACTAATTGGCTCCTTGGTGACTGAGCGCTTGTGGAGCCATTAATAAACTAATATTACTTCCTATACCATTGGGTCAAGGTCTATAAAATCGTTCTACGTGTTATTTAGATCCTTTATCATTCTTTTTTTTTTATTCTTATTCCCTAGTGTATGCGGTTTTCGAATGTCTTTTGTTTTAGGTGGGATACCTATTTATTTTTTTCACCCTCTGTCTCGCGGTAGATCTACGTTTATTAAGTGATTCGCGTAATCGTTACAAAAATAGGTTATGATATATAGACGAACAGCACTATTATCTTTATAAATGTAGGTGATTTATTGTTTGCGTATTTACATAAAAGTGAATTGCTAGGGGAAAGAGAAAATACATTTAAAAATTATTCAAGGATAAACACAGTCAATAATTCTTCACATTCATCATAAATCATGATATAGAACATCATCACAATATCAATCTCTCCGTATATTTGCATACGCATATATATTTTTAGATTTATAGTCAAAATCATAAACCACTTTCAAATACAACTCTGAATCCGCCCTATAATGAACATCAACGGGCAACTCTACATATGCAAATCTCTTAATGTTGCATCTATCTCTGCAATGTGTGCGACATAATCCGCTGGTGATTTCAATGTCTGGGGAAGCTAATTTCGGCCTTAATGCGCTTTGGAGGCATGAAGAGATAACGCTGGCTTTGTGTAATGATCATGACGTAATGATTAATGTAATGGCGGTAACAGTAACGATGAAGATTATTATGATGATGAAAATTGTGAGGGTAATGACGGTTATAATAATATTTTATATTATATGTAGATAGATCAAGAAAGGCATAAAACAAAGATATCGTAATAGATACGGAATGAATATATAACAAAAATTGGTAACGTGGGGATACATGAATGAATAAAGATGACATAAATGATAACAATGATAACGATAATGATTGTAACAATCGTGCATAAGTGATAGTGACGAGTGTTAATGATAATGATGATATTAAAGATGACAATTGCAGCGGAACACAAATATACCAATAATGATTATATATATAACAGTAATGACATAAGAATGAAAAGGATCATTTCACAAAACATGAAAATTATAATTAAAAAATA